GCGGCGGCGGCTCATTACCATAGACCTGCTCGCGCAGCCGCCGCCTTAAAGCGGCGACGCCAGCCGCACCGAAGGAGGTGGGCCCCACCCAGCGCCCTCCTCCGCACCGCCGGTCTAGGATTCCAGCGGGCCAGACCTCCATGCCTAATCCCTCCCCTGGCCTGCCACTGGGCCGGTGACAGATCGCTACCACAGGTTCGAGAGGAATTAACAGTCAGAAGCCAGACCACGCATGATGATAATGGTGGTAGTATCCTAAGTATACTTAGAGGTTTTCACAAACAGTTGGAAGGAGTCTCGGGAGGCCAGGGGCGCACCTCACACCGCCTACGCCTACGATGGTTGGCTGCTGATAAGAGCCCTCGGGTCCGGGGTAAGACTGAGCTAAAAGAGCCCTGCTCAACAGTATAAAGCCTTCCCCATATTCCAGAGAGGTATCCCACCTCCCTGGCAACACCCAGTGAAGTCCTAAGGCCCCCATCCCCACCCCTAATCCAGGTCGTGGTCTCACTAGGACCCCCCCACCCCCTTGGGGTCCAGCGGCTGGGCAGAAGGACCGCAGGCTCATCTGGGACACCAGCTGGACTTTTCAGGAGCAGGTAAGTTGGGAGTGTCAAAGCCAGAGCTAGCTGGTATCAACACACTAATATTACCAGGTTCTGAAGCCAGAATGGCTGAAACCTGTCCATGGTCACAAGGCAGGGGAGGGATGGAGCCAAGCTTTAGGACCCAGGTTTCCCGAATCCTAGACGGATGGATTTCACTGCCCCCTAGGGCCTCCTGGCTGGAGAGATGACTTCTTGCCCCCTCCCGCCTTCCCTATCAGTGTCCAGCTGCTGTTCCCCCGCTTCTACACTCACAGCTTTGTGATTAGCAAACAGTCCTGCCCAGTGCCCGGTATAGGCCTGCAGACTGAACCTTCCACTTGACGGGGGTGTGCAGGATTCCAGGAGTCCTGGGAGTGGCCCAGGCATGGAGACTGGACCATGAAGAAGAGCCAGGCAGTGTTGGTGGAGGGTGATCCTGAAGGAGCTGCCCTCTGTCATACCCCACCCAGGGACCCGCATCCAGGAACAGTAGGGCCAACTGGACGCAGTGCTAGGGGCCTGGTCAGGCAGTAAGAGGCAAGGCCTGGCCTGGGGAGGAGGCTGGGGCTTTAGTCTCAGCTCCCCACCCCACCCTCTGGTTGTGTGATCTTGGTCAAATTCCGGTTCCTCGATTTCCCGTTTGGAAAATGAGGGGATTGAATAAGGTGCATGGTTTCCAAAAGTTAATTTAGCAGGAGAATCTGTTTTTCAAATGAAATTTGAAGTAGAAAGCCGAAATGTTCCTGGGAAGAAGTGCAGGTCAGGGCCTTGCCCTGTCCCCACAACTCCACCAACCAGTACATCCCTGGGCTGCCTTGTGAGGCTTATGCTCTGGAGAAACCCCATTTGAAAAGCACTGAAGCAGAGGCTCCCTCCAGCACTGCGTTCTGGTCACAGTGAAGGAGCCATGAGTCCTGTCTCAGGGACCCCAGGCCCAGGGTCACAGTGTGACCACGGAGTGATGCCTAGGATGAGATATCAGCTTTTCACTTTTTCCCCAGGGGAAAGCAAAGGAGATGGGCCTTGGGCACAGCAAGAGGGATTAGGGTTAGCCTGCATTTCTGGCAATGGTGGTGGAAAGGACGGGGAGAAGGAAGTGGGAGGAGGACCCATGGCTCAGGAGAATGCTCTTGCCTTGATTAAAGATGAGTTTTCTTCCTCTGGGCAAGGCCAAGGGCAGCTCCAGAAGCAGAGGAGTGGCTTAAGCAGCCTCTGCAGGGCTCTGCCTCTGTGGACTTGCTTTGACTCTGGTTTGGGAGGATCTAGGGGCTGCGTGGGCATTTTGCTCTTCACCTAATAGCCATGTGGCGCGGAGAATGCTCGGGAAATTATACCATCTGTTAATTATCCTTTGAATCAGGGTTGGGTAATGAGACTCTCATTTCTGCTGAAGGCCTAAGCCAGCACATGGGGAAACTGCAGCTCTCCATTCATCTCTCTCCCTTTGTACCAAAATAAGCTTTCTGGGTGGGAGAGAGCCACAGCCTTGGCTCTGGATCATGTGTGGATCATGGTTCTGGAGCCTAGCACTGAGGCAGGGGCTGCCATGGAAGGCACAGGAACAGGAAGCCCCCCTTCTTGGTCCCCAGTGGCCTTTCTACCCGAGGGCAGACAAATTGGGGGATGCAAGGAACCCCCTCTTTTCATCTCCAAACATGTTTGGCAAATAGTCTTTCCTCTTCTCCCTGCCGTGACCCCAGGGGCACAGGACAGAGCTGCCTGTCCTTGCACTGTCCCCTCCTCAGCTGCTTCCACCTCCTAAAAGCTGGAAGGAAACTTCCAAGTCTTCTGTGCACCACAGTGTCTCAGTCTAGGGCTTGCCCTGGTGATGTCCTTCTTGACCCCTAGAAGGGCCACCTACTTCATGGAACTTTCCAGCTGTAAGGAACCTTCAGACCTCCCTCCTACGTGGGGGAAAATCAGGGTGCAGCAAGATCCTGGAGTCTGTTCAAAGGGAATTTACTGCTCTTCTAGGCCAAAGCTCCTGCTTTACCATGGAGGCTGGGAAGGCAAAGTGACCTGCTGGGATAGCCCCAGGCTCTCTCCCAGCTCTACTGGGGCTTCCTCACCCAGGCTCCTTCCTGAGGGCCCCCCAGGCAGATGGAGAATACATTTTTGCATAAGGCCTGGCCCTAGCTCTCAGCTGAACAGGTTAGCATGGGTGAAGTGATCCAGGAGCAACTGAGACAGAAAAGGTTAAAGGAATTCAGAGGAGAGGGCAGTGAGAGTGGAGGAAATCCTCCAGGTCTTCCTGGAGGAGGTGGGACTTGGGTTGCATCTTGAATCAGAAACAGCATTCCTGGCAAGAGGAATTCATAAGCAAATTCATTTAACCTGCAGGGTAAGGGTCTTCCCCAAGGTTACACAGCTCAGAAATGGCAGACCTGGGATTTGAACCCAGGCAATCTGGCTCCAGAGTCTCTGCTCTTAATGAATGAATGTGATGTGTCACCTTAGCTGAAGCCAAGATCGGGGTGGGTGTGTTGTGGCCCAGCACAGCGGAGGGGCAGACAAGGCCACATTTGGGAAGAATCAGGTGACCCTTGTCATGGGCTTGTGGGCTGAAATTCTAGGACCAATGGCCTGCTTGAACAGGGTATGGTTGGAGGCCGTGGAAGGGAAGGGTCACCGTGACCTTTGCTGGGCAGGAAGGGGGGTTTCTCTGGCTGGAGAGAGGGGTGGGGAGATCCTGATTCCCCTGGGGCCTGATCCTGTTTCTGGGCTCAGTGCTGCCTATAAAGGGCACAGAAATGGGAGGCGAGAGGTTGTTCCTGTGGAGCTTCAGACACTGCCATTCTGGGACTGTAGGGTGGGGTAAGATGGAAGGGACCGGGAACCGAAAGTTGGGGCAGGCCAAGACCTGAGTGTCTCCTGTCCACGCTTGCCTCGTGTTCCCGGTCCGCTTCCCTGCACTTTTCTCCATAGCTGAGGCTGTGCTCTCCTGAGTGTGGACACTGTCCTTTCTGGGCCCCCCACTCCGTGCCTGGCACTGAGGGGCACTCAGTCAGAGTTTTGAGGATACTTGGATTCTTCCTGTGGTTGCTTCCCCTCCAAACCGGTCTCCACTCAGCAGCCCAAGTCACTGTTTTAAAAAAAATTTTTTTTTTTAAGATTTTATTTATTTATTTGAGAGAGAGAATGAGAGAGAGAGAGAGAGCATGAGAGGGGGGAGGGTTAGAGCTCAGAGAAGCAGATTCCCCGCCGCACAGGGAGCCTGATGTGGGACTGGATCCCGGGACTCCAGGATCACGACCTGAGCCGAAGGCAGTCGCTTAACCAACTGAGCCACCCAGGCGCCCGCAAGTCATTGTTTTTAAATCAATGAACATTTTTTAGATTTAAAAAATCTCTCCCCATTTTTTTTATTTTGGAAAATGGCAAGTATTCAGAAAAATTGCCAGAATGGTACAATGCATCCCCAGATACCCTCCACCTAGATTCACTAATTGTTGACACTATGTTTTTCTCTCACAATTTTTAGAGAACGAAGTGAAACTGAGGTGCAAAGGTCATGGCCCCTCAAGCCTCTGGCCCTCAGCGTGCAGCTCCTGGGGTCAGAGTCCTCTCCCACACCCCCGCACGGTGGCTGCCGCACCCCGGACACAAATGGTGATTCCTGGTATCATCGAATATCCGGTCTAATCCAAATTCCTTGCTGTCTCTCGGACGTCTTTGATAGCTGCTTCTTTCAAACCAGAGGTTTATGCATTACCTTTGGTCATGTCATTTTACTTTCCTTTCCTCCCTCCCTCTCTTCCTTTCTTCCTTGTGATAGTGACTGTTTAAGGAGTCCAGGCCAGTTTTCTTTTCTTCTTCTTCTTTTTTTAGATTTTATTTATTTATTTATTTAGAGAGAGAGAGATCGTG